CATATGAGGGGGCCTTAACTTAACAAGCTGTGCTTTAACCAAGGTCTCCTCGTCTTCCTTTATTCTACATTGTACTGTTATGATTATACTCTATTATAATTTGTCACACGTGTTTTCTGGAAGACAAATAAACTTGATACATGTACTTGATACTTAATTGATTTGAGGCTAATTTGAGGTTACGGTAGCCATCTAAAATTGCGAAATGGCGGACATCTTAAGTTCCGTATCGAAAATAAGGCCACTCTAATACTTAATTATTATTCAAACCATACCAACAAGACCAATAAATATCCAAATCTCTAAAAAGATACTTTTAGTCTCAATAGATACAGCGTAACTAGTAATCACTTTGCTCATTTATAACAGACTAACGACCCTTTTGGATGCCATCTTTGATTTCCAGGTTTTCTGGTGGCCATAGTACACTGTTGCTCATAAAGTTGAATTTATTCTTTTTGAATTATTTTGACAATGATTTATTCCTAATAGATCTAGATAATAATATACATTCTCAGATTTTATTGAATAATAATTTGCCAATGTTTGTTTTGCGTGACTGCTAAAGCATGTGTGTGTTACTATGCTTATCAACTAGGGGACCTACGCCCTTAAGTCATAAATGACAGTAATGAGGATTAATGCCCCACAAAAGGGGACTAATATAGCACCGGCACGGTTTTGATCCTGGGGCCTCACAGTTACGAGGCCATTGCTTTGCCACTGAACCATGACTGTATACGCAGCGGGGGCTAGGGTAGAGGGCAGTTCCCACAAATAAAATTTAAAAAGAAAATGAAATAAATTATTAATAATTCATTGCATTTTACCCCGGTCCCCAACATAAACAAGAATCCTCTGTACGGCCATGCATTATGGCTCAAGGCATGGGCACAATATTTCCATAAATTGGGGTAAAAAAAAAAATCCGACTTTATGAGCAACAGGGTAGTGGATATAGATACTTCGACCCGAAAACTCTAGGTATAGACACTAAAATCACATCTATAAGATGTATATATCACGATTTATGGCTCTGTTATGGTATTGGCGGCCATCTTGTTCTTCATTTTGAAAATAACCGCTTTCCCAGGGGTCCGATTTTCTTAAACTTTAAGTACGTTGTTCCTGATGTCGAACACTACCGGACAACAGACTATGGCACAAGCAAGCATCAAACTTCGTTCTACTGAACAACAAGCTTAAAATGCGATAAACCTGATATCTGCAGAATTTAAAAGCTAAAAAATACATGCATGACGAGAACAGCCAATTAGAGCTCTAAACCAGTAGTAAGTACTGTTTAATAGGGTGTTAGCTCATCATATTCACACTCTTGGTAAGAGGGTACATGGAGCCAGGGGATTATAAAATTTATAACAGATTAGAGACCAAGCCTAGACCCCCTCCATTGTTGTTGATTATGTTAATCTGACCACACAGATTAAGTCCTAATGCACTTACCTGACTTTCTTTGCCACATGATCTATAACAACAACAACAAAATCCTTTAGCATCAATAATCCCTCAACTCGGGGTTCAAACAAAAAATTGACATCATTATTTTTGGCCCGTCTGCAAACGGACCGCCTCTATGCATGACTCCCGGGCATGACTCCACCCATTTGAAGGGATTCTTTGTCTCAGATTCTACACAGAATCCTGGAATTAGCTCATGCTAGCTTATTATAGACCTTTAGGTCAGTCAGGAATCCCATGACTTTTACAAGTCGATCGCCTGTCTGATTATCAAGATATTTATGATTAAAATTCGAAATTTTAAAAACCGTCTTCCCAACGATATTTAAAACACGATAAAGTCTATTGGGGAAAATGAGTATGGTAAAACCAGTCACTCAAAGAGTTTTACTTTAAGTTTGTGGCATTTCATGATCATTTTGAAGCGCATTTGTTTAGGCCTTCAATATTACAACATAACCATATCACAGACACTGATAACACGTAGGGCCATGCATCTCAGATTTGTAAAACTGGAAACATTGTTAAACAATACGTTATTAACATTTTGAATGACAAATGATTTTTTTTTCCTCCAAAATATTCAGCTAAAATTGAGCAAAGTTCTAATTTTAGTTTACGAATATTTGAACTAATACGATTATTTACTTTCTTCCTTCTTTCTTTAAAAAAAAATAGCACTATCCGATCGTATTGTTGTAATAATTTTGCAATTCTCTTTATCTACCCGTGTTTTCAAATCACAAAACTTGTTATACTCCATGACGACCTGTATAGTTACGGTTTGTTTAAAGATAAACTTTAGTACTGGTAATGCGATTGCATTGTGAAAGAAAACGTGTGAAAGGATCAGAAACAGTTGATCATGTAGCATGTAAGTATTGGTGTGCACTGCAAGGTTCTGGAGTCATCAAAATCATAATAAATTTGACCGAGTCTTGGTAAAGTAACAAGCACTCACATAGAAAGCTATAATTATATGGGACAACACACATGGTGTCGGGGCTAGTACTACCTTGATTTCCTTGTCTTTCTATGCTCATTACTCAGCCAGTATACATTTTCTTCCAAAATTGTTTGGCACATGTCATTTATTTGTAATCTTGAACATTCAGTGTAAGTTTCGTTTGATTCTGTGAGAATTATTTTTTTTTTTTAACCAGTACTGGAGTTTATCTTTAACTGTCAAACCAAACCAACGCGTAATGCTAAAAAAAAAAAACATTCCTCTTATCCCAAGATAGTTCACACTTCGTTCTCTCAAATTAAAATTAAAATTCGTATCAAACTATATAATTTTGCAGGATAAAGTGAATTGGCTCTTTCGATGTGAACTACGATATGTTGCTTTATCAATTTGAAAATTCGATAATTATCTTCTCTGTCAATGACTGGAGAAATATTCTACTTCTGAATTCGTGAATACATTATCTAGACCTGTGATTTATTTGCAATCTTACAATATTTCTGCAGATGTACCACTCCGTACCATCTGCGTACACTTCGCGATATTTTTTCAAATGGAACTTATAGTACTTGAAATATCTTATTTTCCAAAAAATGTTATGTTTAATAGATTTCTCTCTAACAAACGAAGCTCTTTAACAGCATGGGTATCCTTTACAGATGTACAAGAGCTCTCATGATACTATTCGTATGATTCTTCTGCAATACTCATTAAAATCGTGTTTCATTTATTATGTATATTTATGTGAAAATAGAATCACCCATTAATATATTTCACACCTGTGTACACCTTACCATGATAGGCGTTTTAAAGATAAACTTGAGTTCTGGTAAAAAAAGAAAATGAATTCTCACAGAATCTAACGAAACTTACACTGAATGTTCAAGATTACAAATAAATGTCATGTGCCAAACAATTTTGGAAGATGATGTATACTGGCTGAGTAATGAGCATAGAACGATAAGGAAATCAGGGTAGTACTAGCCCCGACACCATGTGTGTTGTCCCATATACATCTTTCTGTGTAAGTGATTGTTACTTTACCAAAACTCTGCCAAATTTATGATGATTTTGATGACTCCAGAACCTTGCATTACACACCATTACTTACATGCTATATGATCAACTTTTCTGATCCATTCCACACTTTTTCTTTCACAATGCAATCGTATTACCAGAACTCAAGTTTATCTTTAATGTCATTCACAACCCTTATAAAAAAAAGTACCATGGTAACCATGGTTTTATAAGGCCTCGAGCTCTCTAATCTCTCTCAAATAAATCGAGTGATCACTGATGTCACTCCTCTGCAAAGTGAAAATGTAGTCGAAATAGAGTGAACATTCACTCTTTCTTCTTAGAGAGGACTCTAAAATCAATCGATATACACTCCTAAACAAGTGATCCCTATAACGTGACTCCCGGAGAGTGAAAATAGAGTGAACACTCACTCTTTTCTTCTTAGAAATCGACTCGATTGAATCATCATTTTATCATGCTTATTATTCTAAAACTTCTACATAATTTTCCCTCTCAAAAATAAGCTCAACCATAGCAGGAGCATTCAGCACAATCATGCTCTCATTGCTGGTCAAATATTGATTCGTATTATATGCAATACTCAGAAGAAAAATAAATCCCCTTTTCCTATAACAGACCGGCACGTCTGTATTACCAAACATTTAAGTTTGCTCAATGCTTTGTACTCAATCTGAGTACATCTCGCCATGTCGGTTGGTATTATGCCATTCACAAAGCATAGAGCTCTCTCCATTCCAGGTATTTGAAACATAATATTGGTTACAAAATATATTATATACAATGTTTAACGTAATTCGTCTAAACCTACCACTTGTATATTGACATCATAATATACACAAACACACAAACCCTTCTCATAATCCAAAAGTGAGAACAGACACAAACAAAATCATCTGCAGAATGTAAGTTATAAAGTTCAAGGGCGGTTATATGTCCCGATTATGTGTATTCGACCCTAATTATGCGCCACGTTTTAAATTGAATATTTTTAAATATATAGTTAAACCTTAAAATAGGAGGAGGCATATACACTCGGAGGGGGCGTATAAATAATATGTCTTGTTTACCCAGGGTTGCCTTGTGAGTATTAATTAGGGTATACCAATAATGTTCTCCTAAGGAGTCCCGTTTATTTCCTCCAGTCTTTGCCGAGCTACCATGATAAGGCGCTCAGAGTGGTATATGAAGATTAATATCTTGCCAAACGACATTTAGTGCGGCGGGACTCGAACCGCGAACCAATATAATGATTCAAAGTCAATAAGTGAGGTATTTGCTAGACTACGACACCTCGAATCAGTTATTTTGATTCTGTGTATGTTTGTAAAATGTGAGCAAAACAAATTTCCAATGTTGGACAATAAATTGAAATTGAATGAATTGAATTGAATGTTGAATTTGAATTTCGAATCCTCGCAATGTATGAAACACAATTGCGCCTATAAAAACAGTGTCAAATGATGGGGTGCTTCAACCTGTTCGTTCATGGTATGGTCTATCGATCACGACCGCTGTCGCGGACGGACTGATGATCACCTTCAGCTTTCCATAGTACCACGCCAGCTGCAGGACTACTGAGATCTCGACATGTTCGAGTAAGACGCCCCGCAAATACAAGATAGAGTGAGAGATAATTGTGTTTGTTTGCAAATAATTAGTTTATTAATTACGTTTAAAAAAATTAAATGTAAAGGTTACTTAATATTTTTCAAAACATATTTAATTTGAATGTAGGCCTAATTTTGGATGGTAGGGTACCGGTACCGGTACCCTACCGGTGCCTTAACTTGACCGAGACCGAGCCCGATGGCGAGGGCCTAGGATCTAGTCTTGGAGCCCGCTCAAACCGGGTGATTCATAAACAAATCAGTGTGTCTAAATTGTAGTCTTTCTTAATTTCTAAGGGGCTTTGCAGCCTATCCTGAACATTACCAGTTGTGTATGCAGGCACACAAAACACAGTTTTTACACCCTACTCTTTGCAAGAAGTCTAGATCTAGCATAGATAGACTCTAGTCTAGATTTTCTAAACGTGCTAGATCTAGGCTGAAACTAGACTCTAGACCTAGGCTTCATACTTAGCCATAGCATAGCAATTATAATATAGGGAGTGACTCTCCTACACAATGGTATCCAGGGGCCCGTTCCTAGAAACCAACAACAAGACAGTCATAACTTTATCCGCCAACTACGGAGATGCCTCTGATCTTCCTAAACCGTTTCACGAAGTACTTACTAACTAGATATCTCGTGAAATCGATAATAGTATTGGCGAGAAGAGGAGCTGAGTCTTACTCTTAGCCTTAGTTGCAATTCCAACAGATTTTAAAAAAGTAATTGTAGGAAAACTGCAATTATTTAAATGAATGAGGAGTAAAAAAAGATTGAAAATGATACCAGGAAATAAGAGATGCAAATCATGCAATATACTTCAAAATGTGTGTAGATTATACAATAGAAGTACTTGTAAAATATAATAGTGAGTAGGCCTATTTCATTATAGATCTACGACTGGTGAATCGGTTTTGTTCTTGAGATGGGTACCCCCCGGATATTTTCATTTGATAGTTTATAAAAATACACCCTTATATTATTCTTTGAAAAAATACCATGTAATGAAATTTGTGTTCAATGTTTTTGGCGTCGGCACAATATAAAAATTACAAAACTTCAACATTCCAAATGTTAAAACATATGTTTAAAGTAGTTTAAACCATTCACTTTACACATTTGAAGATAGAATTCATCTCGAAATTAATACCCCCTTCACATACACATATTTTCCTTACGAGTCCTTACGGATCACCAAATCGTAGACAATCGCACGCAAGCGTAAAGAACTTGCTGGTATTCGTTAAAAAAATCGTACCAACTCGCATACACTCGTAAGGATCCGTGAAAGGAGAGGCAAATTTTTGACATGTCAAAAATCTTCTGACCATTTTCCACAGATTTATTTTTCCGTAAATAGCTCGTAATTAGCTCATAACAATCCGTAAGTATCGTAAAATGCTCGCAAGAATCCGTAAATGACTTATAAGAATTTTTTAACAATTTGTTTACAGATTATTTATGGATTATTACGAGTACTTACATGTTATTTACGATTTGATTCGGGTCGTGTTACGATGGCTTTACGGATTGTTATTGGTTATTGCGAGCACTTTACGTACAGTTACAAGTACTTTCCGAATCGATAAGTATATGTTACGTATATTGGGAATTATACGATTTGGGAAAATGTATAAAAGCTGCAAGTTTAAACACTTCATTTTCAGTTTTTTATTTTGTTAAAAATCAAAAGGCTCATTAGTACTCGTAACTACATGTAACTCGTAACTATTCGTAACAACACGTAGACAGGTCGTTAATAACACGTTAGTTGCTCGTAGTTATTCGTGACAACTCATAACAAATCGTGGAATTTTGCCGTAACAACTCGTAATAACTTGTAATAATCTGTTATACATCGTCAATAGCTCGTAACAACTCTTAAATCGATCGTAAAAGTGGCCAAAACGCAAGGATATGTGCAATCCCTAAGGACTCGTAAGAAAATCTGTGTATCTGAAGGGGGTTTAACAGACCTGCCAACCAGTACGATTTGGTCGTATTTTGTACGTTTTTTAGAAGCAAATACGACAGTACGATTTTCCTCAATAAAATACGTTTTTCAAAAAACAAAAAAACAAAAACATACTTTTTAAAATATATATATATATATAGGTCTATATATATATATATATATATATATATATTTTTTGTATTTTGTGTGTGTGTGTGTGTGTGTGCCATTTTCAATGGCAAAATGCCCATTCTGTCCTGTAAAGGATTCCAAAAGCATATCACATCGGCAATTTGGGGATGTTAATTGGTTCATCGAACACACAAGTCGTGACGAAATCATGCATATTCAACCAATGATCCATAATGTTTATGCCTCCGTTACGAAGTAGCCGGAGGCATTATGTTTTCGGGTTGTCCGTCCGTCCGTCCGTCCGTCTGTACGTACGTTCGTCTGTACGTACGTACGTCCCGTTCTCGTGATCGCGTTATCTGAAGAACCGATTGATGGATTCCTGCCAAACTTTGGTCATGTATGTATCTTGCAGAGCCAATGAACTGATTAGATTTTGGGGTTACGAGGTCAAAGGTCAAAGGTCACAGGGCTCATTATGTATGCAAAAACAGCTCGTGATCGCGTTATCTGAAGATCCGATTGATGGATTCCTGCCAAACTGTGGTCATGTATGTATCTTGCAGAGCCAATGAACTGATTAGATTTTGGGGTCATGAGGTTAAAGGTCAAAGGTCACAGGGCTCATTATGTATGCAAAAACAGCTCGTGATCGCGTTATCTCAAGAACCGAGTGATGGATTGCTGCCAAACTTAGGTCATGTATGTAACTTGCAGAACCGATGAACTGATTAGATTTTGGGGTCACGAGGTCAAAGGTCAAAGGCCACAACGCACATTATGTATGCAAAAACAGCTCGTGATCGCGTTCTCAAGAACCGATTGATGGATTCCTGCCAAAATTAGGTCATGTATGTTACTTGCAGAGCCCATGAACTGAGTAGATTCTTGGTTCATAAGGTCAAAGGTCAAAGGTCATGGGCTCATTATGTATGCAGAAATAGCTTGTGAACACATTCTCATTAGAACTGACAGATGGATTACTATTTAACTCAGGACATCTTGCAGAGCCAATGAACTGAGTAGATTTTAGGGTCATGAGGTCAAAGATCAAAGGGTCATATATGTATATGAGAAATTGCTTGTAATCACGATATTCTGAGAACCTGTTAATGGATTACAATTGAACTTGAATTCGAAAAATGTGTTCTGTTTTGGTTTGTAAAATTGCTCTATGACGGAGGCATCATTTTCGGCTGCGCGCAGTCGAATTCCATCTAGTTTTTTTCCTATGTAGGAACTGTAAGAGACATTGGGCGTGGTCGTGCTTGATTTTGAAGTTAGAATGAGCGATCTGAAACGCTCATCGTAAATGCTCATCGTGATCGCAGTTCCACGGTGTACTGTTCATGCTTACTTCTCTGGCTCATCTAGGCAATTCTCCGTGTGTGGCCTTAATTGGTCTTCCAGCTGGATTCGCAAACCTTCACTGTGCATGCTACGTAGACCCACTAGAGGTCAGTGCGTTGACCCCATTTAAACGCTTTTACAAATTGTAAACGCATCTTTTTGTGAGTTTACGATCGGCGATCGTGATCGCCGTTTTTCGGTGATTCTACAAAAGTAAGCATGAACGCAACCGTGTTTTAAACTAAACGCGGAACAGATGCCTGATTCTGGCCAGAAAAAGTGAAGCATGAACACGCCATTGATTCACGTAACAGTCCGTGTTTTTTTTAAGAATTCAACTTTTGTCAGTAAAATACAACTTTTGGGATTAAAGCATACAGTTTTTGAACTCCCAGAGGTTGGCAGGTCTGGTATAATATGGGTCTGAAAACTAGAGAATACATTTCTGACTATGGCTTGCCTGCCGTGGCAGAATACCCATCCCTTCGAGGATTTTACAATGTGGAAATAAAGGCGTATAATCAGTTTATTTAAGTGGGAAAATCCTTAAACATAAACATGGCATATTTTCAAATACAAAAAACGATTATAACTCACTGTTTAAGTGAATGTGTAGAAAAATCATAGTTGGAGAATTTATTGTCCTTTTTTGCCAGCCATATTCTACCCAATAAATGACATGGGATGGTGCTGCCCATGGACTAAAAAGTTATGACAGTGTCAGAGGCGTCATAACTACTTAGTCAAGATGTTGTTGTTGATCTTGGCAAAGAGGGCTTCGAGAAACGGGGCCTGTTCCTCGAAACCGTCATAAATCTAACTTCTTGACTAAATCAGCGTTAGTGAGCTAGTTGTCCACAACGTGTTTCACGAAGCACTCTTTGCCAAGATCAGGAACAAGATCCTGACTAAGTAGTTATGACGTAAAAAAAACCTGTCATATCTCTGTCATGACGTTTTAGAAGATGGGCAGCTCCATCACATGTCATTTATTGGGTAGACTATGGCTGACAAAAAAGGGCAAGAAATCCTACAGCTATGATCTTTCTACACATTATCATCATTTTTTATACCGGTATTTGAAAGTCTAATGAAGATATATGCCATGTTTATGTCTAATACTTTTTCCACTTAAATACTATGATTAAACGCATTTATTTCCACATTGTTAAATCCTCAAAGGGATGGTAATCTACAATGGCAGGCAAGCCATAGTCAGAAGTGTATTCTCTAGTTTTCAGACTCATATTATTTTCGAGATAAATTCTATCTTCAAATGTGTAAACCAATGTTTAAAACATACCTACATGTTTTAATGTTTGGAATATTGAACTTTTGTCATTTTAATATTGTGCTGACGCTTAAAACATTGGACAAAACTTTTATAACATCGTATTTTTACTAAGAATAATATAAGGGTGTATTTGTATACACTATCCGGGGTACCCATCTCAAAAACAAAACTGATTCACTGGTCATGAAACGAAATACTCCCAATTATATTTTACAAGTAAATTCTATGGTACAATCTGTATAATCTACACAAATTTTAAAGTTTATTGCATCTGTCATTCCCTGGTACTATTTTCAATCCTTTTTCATTCCTAATTCATTTAAATAATTGCAGTTTTCCTAAAATTCCTTTTTTTTAAATCCGGTGGAATTGCAACTAAGGCTTTGTCTTGGCTCCTCTTCTTGCCGATAGTATTGATTTCTTGAGATATCTAGCTATTAAGCTCTTCGTAAAACGGTTTAGGAAGATCAGAGACATCTCCGTAGTTGGCGGATAAAGTTACGACTGTCTTGACGTTGTTTTCGAAAAATCATAAATTATTATGATAAATTGTACATTAATTGATCGATGAACGAGAGGCTTACATGAACTACAGAGATCTTCAGAAGAAAAAAAGTTTAGATATGAAAAGTAGTTGAAAAACAATAAATGTATGTGCTCACCTTAAATATTATAGCTAAATCTGGACTTTTGACTTCTTTGTGATTTGTAATTGTTCTACAAAAATAAAGAATATATTGATGCAAGTGCTTTTGATTGTTCTTACCGGTATATCTGTTAGTGCCTAACATAATTTGGTTCAAGAGAAAGTCATTCAACAAGGATCACCATCACTTCCAACCCTGTAGTGCATAAGTCGAAGTAGAATCTTATTTATCATTTGTTTTAAAAATACAATTCTTTTGCTTGATGCAGTTTATTATTTTTATTTTCAAATCTCTGATATGACTAATTGACACATTTTTCATAATTCTGGAAATTTCATGTACAGTGAATTGGGCTAGTAGAGTTAATGGGAGATTGTAGGGCTAATGGGGACCAATCACACACACACAAAATCGCTTTTTATGTAAGGGATTCCATGAAGGTATACTTTGGCAGTGTTCAAAAAACTAAGTTTTGGGGAAGGTCCAGATGTAACTTTTTACAGTCTGTAAATGAACAGTATGACTATTACCCCAATGTCAAAATTTCAAGATTTGGTGGGACTTGGATATTTTGTGTGCCCATGTGACCTGAATGCCTATTAGTATCAGCTTCAAATTTACTTCTGATCAGAGATATTGCAAGTGTAAATACACTGTTTTTGAATGGCTTAGTACTCAAAAGTGACTAGTAGACTAGTTGAAGCCCTTGAATGTGCGTGTGAGTCTTGATTAATGAAATCTTCTTTTTTATCCTAATTTCCTGTTCTTGTTAATCATTGACAATTTGAATGTCTGTAGAGTTAAACGAATGACCACTGTACCAAATAGGAGAAGCAATAACCTTAAAGAGAAGGTTCATTGATTTAAAAAACTAACTACATGTATAATGTCATTATCGCAAAGGTGACACTTTGATTGGCCAAGGTTATCAAAAGTCAATGCTTGGAAACATTAGAAGTAATGATTATTAACAATTACAAAATGCTTAGATACAGCCCCGCCATAGCACCTGAAAAGATCCCCGGTCGCTGCTGAGATATGACGTCACATGTTGAACATGATGTGCACAAGCAAACGATGTCCCATGACATCTCACACAATTTTAGTGCCTGTTTTGTCATCTTTTCTCCAGTTATTTCTCGTACTTCAATACCCTCAGACAAAATGTTTAATCTATTGCCTCACTCTTAACCCCGTGCATGGTATAGTTTGATGGAAAATGCAAGGATAAAAAAAAAAGGAATCCGTCGCTTGTAAACAAACTAAGACGCCATTGTATTTTCAGCTGCATACACCGCGGCATGTTCGGCGTTTCAAGAGGAAACAAATGACGTCCATGCTATCATTCCGGAGGTTTTTTTAATTTGAAAGTGTGGTTTCTTTGATTGTTCATTAACCCATATTCTGTGTATTTACAAACAAAAGAATTTAGTTATCAGAATGGGGGTCATATCCCTTTTTGAATGGTGTAAAATTCCATCACATTTATATACACTAAACTCATTATAATTTGAGAAATTAAAGCATTGCAATTATGTTCATTCTTTATGGGATGTCGTCTGCTTTGGCAGGGTTGGTTCATATTGTGACGGCATGAAAACATCGTTATTTTTCTGGCAAATCTCTCGCATATCCCAGATGCTATGGAGGTTGTTTTATTTGTATTTTTATAAACCACCCGATATGTAGTTGACCTAAAACTTGCATGATGGCCATCTGTTAGCTTACCAGTTTCTAGTAATACGCTATTTGCCATATTTGTGATTTTCTATGAACTCGCACTTGAAGAGCTAGACTCTTTGAATTGCAACGGTAGTTACGGTACTCAAATATAAATCTTAAGGTGGAAAAAATATTTCTTGCAATGGGTCAATTTTGTGTGGAGCGATAAACACACACAAACATTTTGATTCACTCTCCAAGCCTTTGTTATTGACTCTGGGCTGGGTAATGCATCTATAGTAAAGAACAAAACTGAACAAAAGAAAGGAATGTACTTATAAATGAAAGGTGATAAGGGAGGTTTAGACATAAAGCAGTCTTGGTCCATTTGTAAAGCCTTTGTTAAGCAAAGCAGACAAGCTTAGATTTGTAAGATACGGTTAGGTGAGCAGTATCTCATTCAAATTTTGACAATGTACTCCAGACTGTTGGTATCAGATACAGTAAGCAGTCTCCTAATTCGTAAAGCTTTAGAATGTGTGTGTTTACTCCACTCAGAATAATTCTTGACAAGCATTACTGCATCCTCAAAGGGATAGTTGAGTTCTGTTGCAGAGGGCGCTACACAAAATAATTTTGTTGTGAGATAATGAAAAACTGAGTGTCAAATTTGAAAGAACATACAATTTAAATGACAAAATCATCTTTGTTTGATCAAAATCGGTTCAGAGACGGCTGAAATATCCATAAATATAACGATTTCTAATACTTGTGTACCACCACAAATATTAGGTAATTTGAAAAAGCTGTTGAAAAAACGAAATAGTGCCTTTTACTTCATATTTCAGCCAATACCAATGTTAGCTTCTTTTCTTTTTTTTTCGTGTTGGTTATATTACGCATAACCAGCCAGCCCATGTATTGTTATTTTTACCGGTCAACATATTTTTTTTGAAAGTGGAGCTGAATTGGTATGATCGTATTGGCTAAATTTCACACATTTTGGGGTCTAAAATTACCTTCATAGCAATTTTAGGTTCTCAAAGGGCACTAGAAATGTCTTGGATAAGAATAAGAGCAATAACCATGCACTTTGAAGGCATTTGCGTTCTGAAAACAGAACTCAACTATACCTTTTAAAGTAGATATTCATTGATTTTAAAAACTAACTTTATTTTCATTACTGCAAAGTTGAAACTTTGATTTGAAAGGTTATCAAAATTCAATGATTGGAAACATTCAAAGTAATGAATATTATAAATTACAAAATGCTTAAATACAGCCCCGGCATAGCACCTGAAGAGCTCTCCGAACGCTGCTGAGATGTGTGAGATCATAGTATGGATATAACTAGCACAAGCAGACGATGTCCCATGACATCTCACACATTTTCAGTGCTTGTGTTTTCATCTTCTCTTGAGTTCTCTCTCTTACTTCACTACCGTCAGGCTAAATGTATACTCTATTGCCTCACTCTAAACCCGTGCATGGTTTTATTTTGATGACAAATGCAGCGATACAAAAATAAAGGAATCTGTCGCTTGTAAACGAAATAAAACGCCATTGTATATTCAGCTGCACACACCGGGGTATGTTCGGCGTTTAAAGAGGGAACAAATGCCGTCCTTAATATCATTCTAGGTAGTTTTCAATTTGAAAGTCTGGTTTCTTTGATTGTTAATTAACCCCTATTCTGTGTATTTACAAGCAAAAGATTTTAGTTATCAGAATTGGGTCATATCCCCTTTTGAATGGTTTGACATGCCATTACATTTATATACACTAAACTCATTATAATTTGACAAATAATAGCTTTGCAATTATGTTCATTCTCTATGGGATGTCCTCTGCTTGGGCAGTGTTGGTCCATATAGTGACGTCATTAAAACATCGTTATTTTTCCGGCGAATCTCTCGTATATCCCAGCTGCTATGGAGGTGGTTGTATTTGTATTTTTACAAATCACCCGATATGTAGTTGGCCTAAAACTTGTACGATGGCCATCTGTTAGCTTACCAGTTTCTAGTGATACATTAGTTGACATATTTGTGATCTTCTTTGAATTTCACCTTTAAGGTAAAGACCAGTATTGGAAACGCCCCAATTTCAAAAAATGAAATGGAAGCTCTTATTACCAAGCATGTGAAAGAATATGTTTTGACTAATACATGATGATAAAAATTTTGCTGGGAAACCATTAGTTTATCTATTGGTGTGTGAGAGATAAGCGCACGTGTCGCGCACGTGTGGGTAGTCCCATATACATCTTTCTGTGTACAGTGCTTGTAACTTTACGAAGACTGGGTCAAATTTCTTTTTGATGATTCCAGAACCTTGCAGTACACACCAATACTTATATGCTAGATGATCAACCTTTTCTGATCGATTCCACAACGTTTCTTTCACAATGCAATCGCATGACCATAATTGGTCTTTATCTTTAAAGAAAAAAGGACAATTTAGCATCTACTTGTGTATGCAATAAAATGTATCTGAAATTATGTGTATAGTACTTACCAAATTATCGTGAAATTACACCTGTTACACAAATGCCAATTGTTACCCTTTTCACTCTATACAAATTTCAAATTTTAATATAGATACTACAGAAATTATATAATGTTAAAAGAAACATTGGAATGATTTTCAACCCTTTAAAAAATTACATTTATAAATCTGAACAAGTTTACTATTTTTCTTTAATGGTGATGTGATGTGGTTGGTACCCGCAGAATAATAAGTGGAATGATCATATTCATATGTTGTAATAACATAGTGGTACTTCTTTTATTCACTGGGTTGAATTTTCTTTTTTCTTTCTTTCTTTTCTCTACAGAAGCAGTGCACATCATTGTATTTCCAGACAATGGCATTCACAGAAACATCAGGATTAATTACTGGAAGGCTTGTCTAACACTGAACTCACTGCCCTATCCAGATCAAGCTAAGTTAAGCTCATGAAATAATACCCAAGCAAGACAGAGCTAATTGCGTGTGCGAACGATCTGGAAAATATTGCTTGTTATTTCCAACTAGGTATTTGGCCTCTCCTTGCCTTGATGTACTGTAGTTGATGTGTGTACCCTGGCTTTGTTATGTGCATGAAGGAAACAGAAACTGCATTGAATGAGATTTATGGATAAAGGTGATTGGAATCATTTCAGCAGTTTTGGATAATGCAAAATTGCCATGGGTGATTAGAATAGTAATCATTGAGATGAAATCAGTCAGTCAGTTGGAATACCACAGCGACAGTCATTGCTTTGCTTGGCTGGTCACAAAGACGAAGGAACATAGACAAAATATTTACGTATTTTCAGTTCCTGAGCTGAACTTGCTGTACATGTGAACAGAAATTCACATTAGTGTGCAGGAATGTCATGATTTTTTTGTGATAGAGTGGAATGATCCAATAATGATGCAAGAAGAAAAAAAGCTTCTTCTCTGTTTGGCAGCTAGCAACATTTTTCAGCATCATTTCTCCAGTTAATGGAAACAGAAATGGAGGAAAAGAATCATAAACATGTCAGAAATAACAGCATTTGGGCTGATGATCCTGATGGAAATATAAGCAGCAGCGTCATGGCACATAGTGTGGGAAATACTGGGAGGGATCATAGAGCACTTACCTCACCCACCTCGCCTATGTCTGATGGAGGAAGTGCAGGAAATGGAAGGGTGAACAGAATGCAAACAGTGCGGACCGAGACAATAGAGGAGACTGTGTGTGTCTATGAAATCTCTAATTCAGGAAAGGACACCGATGAGCTAGGAGCGAGGAGAAAATCAGATACACTTTGTGCAGAGGTGATGAGGAATGGTGCATCATCAAGGAGACGATCATCCAGTCCCAGTTCTGGTAGTGATATGCTGCAGGGGAGGAATAGAAGTGGTATCCAATCAAACACATCACATGGTATTAATTGGGATGATGCCTTGCATCAGAAGGAGAATAGCAATTCTAATCATCTACCTGGACATGCTGAGCCAGTGGAAGAGGTGTTTTCACCCCTCACAGTTTTGAAGTCAGATTTAACCAGTCCAACAGACTTGACATCACCACTGATAACTACAAAAGCTGGTCATGCTGGTGATGGGAAAGATTCTCAGGTGGTGGATAAGAACATAGATGTTAAGCACTCAACCCCTGTAGATGGATACTATCATGTTAAACACAACCCTGCCTATAAAGATATGGGTAGACCAGTTATAGCTGGTGATCCGTCATCTAACCTAGGGTATCCTCAGGAGAAATATCAACAGAATAGCCCTGAGCAGACTACTTATGATCCATCCAGTGGATATCGCTTGCAACCTCCAACTTCATTATTTCTGAAAGAGAAGCACTCTGTAACAGGACCCCAGGACAACACACCAAGTGATATAGAGTTCTATGATTGTCATTCACAACTTGGTGAACAGAGAGAGACTCCTGATCAAGAACTCTTTACACCAGAAACTGACAGCAGCTTATTAAAACAAAATGTGGACAAGAAGAACAGAAGTGACATGTCAAGTTCTTCAGAGAGATGGCATACTGGAACAGAAGGTTCCATCGCTATGCACCAAGCCTTACATGATTCAGAAGAAGGGGATGTAAGTCTAGGCAAGAAGAAAATTGAGCATACCACACAGATGAGTAGAGCTGATTTTCCATCTCCACCCAATCCAACTCGTATCCCAAGGTTTCAAAAAGACCCAGGAGATGGTGAGAATCCCAAGCAAGTGAAAAACACAAGAAGTGTGAGTCCCAGTGCTATGGAAAGATTCAAACGTTTCATTTCATTTGGGGAGAAGGATCCACCTCAAAAAATCAAAGAGGTTCCATCTAGCTTCTCCATGTCTTTCCCTTCTCTTCCGGACCTGTCATCTTCCACCCAAGCTCTCAAATCCTTCAACCTTTCCCAGGAGGAGCAGCCCCATTCATCACCATCCAGAGGACGTCCAGCAATGACGCCCTGTGAACGTGGCGAGAAGAGCTGGCGGAAGGATACATCTTATGGTTTCCCCTCTCCTGAGATATCTCTAAAGAGACCTCAGACACTCTTCAAGTTTAATACCTCCCCGTATGATAAGAATACAGAGACACGTAAAACCCGTAGGCGATCTACTGAGGTACCCTTTGAAGGGTTGACCAGTCCAATGTCTGCCAGTGAACGACTACTAAGGTCACCTGGAACCCCAAGGATACCAATGTCTCCCAGGGAACCCTCAGCTTACATTGCAGCCAGAGAGAAACAGGCCAAGCTGGATTTTAGAATCAACTTCAAGGACCAGGCAAACTTTACAGGTAAGTTATTCTGATTCTTCTTATTAAATTCTCTTTGATGATTTACCAGTTAATCCAGATTACTTGCCAATGTAGGTACATGCAGCTAATTAAACTGGAAGAAACCATAAATAGTGAAATGAGCATTATTTTCTCTTTTTTTGCATATTTATTGAAGGCAAGTCCTGTATTGATAATTATTATACACAATTCTGAATTCTTTATAACGTATCACATTTAACTGAGGTTTAACTATGTTTGATATCATGTTTTCCATCTTTTTTTCCCTCCCATCTTATTTTTGTGGGGTTGTTGTATTTCATTTGTTTTGTTTGGAGAAGGGTGTAGGGAATGGTGTAGGTAGAGTGTGTCAGAGCAGCACATTTGAAAAAAATAAAATAAAGAGCCCATCTTGTGTCATTATTGATCAGTGATCTACAGTATGTTCTATTAAACTTAAATGTATTCCTGTATATTTCACTTATAATTTTCAGTACTTGTATATTCTTACGTACACACAAGCTGTTTATCTCATTGTCCCAATTATCAAGAGATCTTAATGATTTCATTATATTATGTAGGATTTTGTACAATTAATTTTTAAACAACACAATTGTTGTGAAGATATTCAGAGTTTAAGGTGTTTGGGTGGTGTCTTTCTCTCAATTAAACAATTTTCCTTCATGGGTTGGACTGTAGCCCTGGAATACACACCCACTTGAAGTCTAAAATCTATAATTACCTACCAAAAATTGAAAAATGTCAATGTCTCCTGATTAAAAATGAACTGATATTCCTGTAATACCCCTCTTCTTCAGGACACATTGTGTGAAATTAAATTGATGCTAAAAGAATAGATTTAAGAGTTGAGCCCTTTAATATGCCTTTTACAAACACAAATATACTGTATCAGGCGATTTGATCTCCAAATATTATTTGACTGTGGTTCATGCAGAATTTGCATAGAGTACATGCCTGCACAACAATAGCAGGTAAATGGGATGTTGAGGATGAGATGCCTTGCAATACTGTAGCATACAACATTGCATAATCAAGTTAGCGTACAGGAGCAAAGCTACCCTGCATTGATTGATTGATTTACAGCATGACCATGTTACAGTACATCTAGCGTAGATGCATACATGTGCATTACATATAACCGGTTTGTCCACAAGGACTTAAACATTATAGTGTGTTTCTCTCCTAAATCTATTGATTTTTATTTCATTACAGTAGTATATGAAGTAGCAGCTATTAGACTGACCTTTACTGTGACCACCAATTAGTTGTGGCTTTAAAGGGCAACTTGACCAGTAATGGGTGTTGATTTTCATTCATAACTACACATGTGGGTACCATGTGTGTTATTATTTTTAATTATTTGGCTATGGGATATGGCTATATACATGGCTAATGAGTACAATGTACAGTATACCGGTATGGAAATGTTGAGGATTGAACAGATTTTCATTCAGAATGGACTGCTTGCATCTTTTTCCCCAAGGTTATATAATATGTATTGATGCATCCATTTAATCACCCCTCCCTTTTCTCCAAAATGAATACAAACAAATTATTTGTGTTCATTACCATCAAGAAATGCAGGTGTGATATACAAACTGAAACCTATGTTCCCTTCATATGTATTGCAAATGTTGTACTCCACTTTAATGTTGCCCTACTTGAACTATGGTATTCTTGCCTGGGGTAGTTCATTGAAACTTCAACTGGACAAAATCCTGGTTGTTCAAAAAAGAGCAATACGAACAATTTGCAATGTACCTATTCGTACTCACTTGAGCCCTCTTTTCTTTCATACTAGAGTACTGAGAGTTCAGGATATTTTTAATTTACAATTAGGCTGCCTCATGTTTCAGCTGAATAACAACGAACTGCCGCAGGCACTATCTTATTTGTTTAAGAAAAGAAATCAAGTCCACAAATATTCTACCCGACAGGCGGATTTCCTATTACCTTCCTAGAACGAGAACAAGCTTTACTCAAAACACCTTAATATATACAGGTCCTAAGTTCTGGAATTCTCTCGATTCTGTGATTAAAGGTCTGTAAGTGTACATGTATTCAGAAGAAAATTGAAAAGTTATTATTTGAATACATATTGTCATTCCTGATTCCTGACTATTCTTGTCTCCAAACTGTATACTTTTGTTCATTACAATGAGTAACTAACGGTATGACCATACCAACTATGTTTATTATATACTCATATCAAGAATAAACTATATTGTAATATTGTTTCAATAAGCTGCAGATATATTCCCTTCCCTTTTCCTTGTCTTTTGTAGTTAATTGTGAGTATTGGTTCATGTATCCCTGTAATCCCCCTTTCCCTCTTTTATCGTGTATTTGTATTTTATAAACTTTACTTTAGTTTGAATAATCATGTCATTTTTAGTTTAAGGAGCCTATCCACAACAAGCTCTGCTTTTCCATAGGCTCCGCCACCTTATCTCTTAAGTTAAACTTACTGGACAATATTCTGAATAGTGTGTACTGGCATTGTATGTACATGTGTAAAATAATCATTTTCAATATGTTGTTACACTCTTTGTAAAATGAGATATTGTGGAAACCAATAAACTATCTATAAACTATCTATCTTAATAGAGATGTAGATGTAGATGCATGATCCATATGTGTGGATTCTATTTTCAAATTAAATGATAATCCGTTTTCTAGAAGAAAACAACCATCGCTGTTATTTGTGCTAAAAGGGAAACCCACCTTCCTGAGAAGTTGAATTGGATGAAATCAGAAAAATCAGAGAGATTTATAGTGAGAAGCAAAATGGAAAATGACATAGTATTAATAGATACAAGTTCTTTGAAAGTGTACATGTACAATGTAGATCACTATGTGAACTTCATATTGGCAAAGTGGTCATTTCATTTGGGACCACTCTTCTATTTAAATTTGTGGTGCAGTATGCCTTGATGAAATGGGAATTTGCAATTCTCCTTACCAAATTGAAGCACCAAGGGGATGTACAGTACACTGTATGTACATGTAGCATCGCACACATATTATAGGTACTTCAAACACAAGGAGATCATATTCGGTCACAAAGTTGGAAGGAAAAATATAGTGATTTTTCTTCGTGTAAGAACAAATTTATGGAAGGGTTTAAATACATGTAGGTAATAAAATACCACACTGTACATCTAGCATGTATTTTGCATTTCATCAAAAGCATTGCTGTTATGGCTGGATACCATGCAGCCCTATAGTTTGAAGCTACACTGTACATGTAGGTACATCGTAACCATAGAGAGAGAAGCCTCTGACTCACCTGATCTAGTACTGGAGATTACTTCCCAGGGTTCCTAATACTCTTTCCACATGAAAGTTCAGAAGGGATTTTGAAGGATAATACATGTATCTATAAATTTTTATAATTGTTTTTTCTTATTCGACCCTGATTTAATCACTGTGATTATTTCCCACTTAAATGTCTGAAAGAACATTTTATGTTGTGTCCACAGCTCCACACTCACTATTATTGTTCTCAAGAAGAAGATGGGAGGGGGATCCTGAATGTCTATGTGCACTTCATCCCTATCAACATTTTTTAAATGTATACAGTTCAAATAAACAGGGGTCCTGCACACAAGGACCCCTGTTTATTTGAACTGTATACCAAGATGAAATATATATGTAAATAAAAGTCTTAAAAACTTTGCATATATTAGTTGTTGCTATATCAGACAATCGTGTACTTGCTTTTGATCCTTTTTTTTTGATAACTTTGTATTGTTTGGAAGAAAAGAAATATTCATTTGAATTGAATTGAATTGAATATGATAAGGCACTATGGAATTTGTTTTTTGAAAGGGGAGTGTATATTATATTATATTGTGATTTATTAGGCAATTTGAATCTGCATGGTTAAAGAAATCTTTTCTTGTTCTTTGTGTCATGGCAAAATTGCTCCAATTCAATTGAATGTTAACATCATCTATGCGGGAGAGATTTCTTAATGCTGTAATGGCACGAGGTCACATGCTGGGGTATGTTGAAAGACCCTCTTGAAACTCTTTGAAAGAATGCATTCCAGCATGATTTGCAAAGGGATTTGCATTTGGGGGTGGATTGACAATTGTTCAGCTGTGAGTACATTCTGGGTTTTCCCATAGTGGTCTTATGCAATGTGAGTTTTAAGGTACATTTTTTTTAAATGTATGTACCATGGAGACTGTTCAATGCAAATTGTGGTCTGATGTGCAAAAATTGGAGTCAAAGGAACAAAGAAATAAAGGGGGCAATTTTGAGTGTGCAAAGAACCAAGGAGGGAGACACTTCTTATGGGGGAAAAAGATGAAATTATTGAAGGCCTTTATCAGGACCACATTATGAAAATATTAACCCTTTGGGCTAGATAGTATTTATGTCAGATGGGCCACTTGACCAAGTGAAATTATATTTGTATTTAGTGGTACATGTATGGCAACAAAACTAGAAACTCTTGCATGCATGAAACTTTTTGGTGAATTTCACAAGTGCTTGAGACCCATAAATGTATTTTGATTAAAAAAATCTTTTTAATCACAACATAGAACATACATGAACATTAACATTTAGCAATTAACAGTCCCTAATAGTTCATGAAAGTTTCAACAGAAATTAATTAATTAAGAACCATTGGGAATGGGATATTCTTATAATATTTTGTGCATCTTTTTGTTGTTTTAGCCAGTAGAACATGACAGGCTTTAACATGCACTTTGTTACTAGTAATCATTATAGGTTAAATATCTTTACTAGGATGTTTTTAAATATTTGATGTTACACTGTCAATTAGATGCATAAACCAGCAGGACAGTTCCACCATCCATGACTCAAATCATTGCCAATTTCACAAATACTTGTTAATTAATCCATTGAGCCATAAAAGTGATTATTGTGTACATGTTAACTTCATATACTGTGGAATCTACCGATGGCCACTGTATGAGCCAATTCCTACATTTAACAGCATGCTTTTCTATATGTAGAGTATTAAAGATACTGAATAGTAAAATATAATGTTTAGCACCTGCCTGCCCCCCCCCCCCCCTCCCGTACAGATGTTTGAAACAAGGTATATCAGTTGTGTATAATGTCATTTGAAATGTAAGACTACATAAAATATCATTGATCATATTACATTGTGTAACTACTTACTGCTACAATGTATATTATAGCAGTACATGTACCATATATGATATATGCTGTACATACCATGTACATGTAGATCTTGTTTCATTCCCCTAATCACATAGATTAGCCATTACATGTATATATTGAGGTTGATTGTAGGGTGTATTTAGTACTCTGATATTGATCTGCCAATTTGATACATGTAGCATAATCCTGGTTATTTGAGTCTGGAACTTCTCTCTGCTTCCTCTGCTCTTGTATCTTTTCATAATGACATTTTTCTGAATCTTTAGTTTTCATGCAGTGTTTCATGAGGTTCCCCCTCCCCTTCACAAAGTATTTTCATCAGATATTTGTTCTGTGTAACTAATTTTAGATATTACATAGAAGTGACATTAGTATTACTATCAAATTCTTTTTATGGTTTATCAAATCACCAAATGCTTGTTTTGATAAAGATAATAGTAATGACAATAATAATAATAATAAAAGTTAACATTTATACATAGCTTTACATGAAATATATAAATTTTAAATAAAAACTTAAACAATGAATATAGTAAAGGAAGATAGAAATTCTAAGCATTTTACATGGAATAAACAACTTGTTGGTGTATTCATAACTACATTGTTTGATGTGTGTGTCAGTGTGTCTCCCTTTCTCCTTCCATCTATCCATTGTGTCTCTTAGTTTCTTGTTTCTTTTTCCCTTTCTAGTCTCTCACACTCTTTGATAATCTCCCTCCTCTCTCTCTCTCTCTCTCTGTCTGTCTGTCTCTCTCTCTCTCTCTCTCTCTCTCTCTTTTGTTTGTAAATCTTTTTTTCTGATGTATTGTACTCTTAAAGCTTAAATGTTGTCTGTATGGTTTCATAATTCGCCTTTCAAATTTTAAGCCTGTGGAATTAGATTATAATCCATGATCACAAGCTATATTGGTATCAAATTATTGGAAGGTTAGAGCTCCAGATTGGTTAAATTGACATCGAGTGTCCTTACCATAGCACACTGTTCACTAAATCAAATTAGATTTATCTACAGACGTAATATTTCCAATACCAGCTGCCAGTGAACAGACACTGCTCTGAACTCATGTAGATGTTATTTTGTCACTCTGAGTGTTGCGCATTGCTTTAAATATCTCATGCATTGCCTTCCAGGTCGACGCCTTCTAGACTGGCTCTGTTCCTCCTGCTCCTCCTGCTCCTCTTTGCCTTGCTCACCTCCATACCAGGAAGATGGGGGTTTGATGAGTCCATCCTCCATCTCGGAAGCCCAGTCTGCTGCCTACATGCTCTGCACCAATCTCCTAGATATCGGTATCCTACAACCCCTTGAGAGCGCCTCGGGGACAGACGTCTTTAAGGTAGGAGATTGATTAATAGTTGGCAACTTTTTAATTACATGTACATTTGCTGGTTATAGGTAGCCTGTAACTTCAGGGAGTACCTCAAGGTCAAAGGCATAATCTTTAGTTTATATGCGGGAGAATCAGTAGTGGTAATAATGAAGTACAAAAGTTTAGCTCCATGTTATAGGTATCCTCTACTCAACTGAAGTAATCTACAATAAGGGACATCTTTCTTCAAGCTAAAAGAATCATAGTGGGTAACCTTTGATATCTCCTAGTTATACATGTAGGTATCCTTCCTGGTTATAGTTATGGTTTTAGGGTGTGCCTCACTCCCTTAAAGACAAAGATATTCAAAGTAGGCATATTTTCAGTGGTTTCTGGTTATGGTATTTCTAAACATCCTAGGGGGAAAAATTGAGCTGTTCAATCTTTACATAGACTTGTAAATAACTGATATACATGTACATGTCTAGGTAAAGATTCAAAAACTCACAACTTGACTCTCAAAAGATTTTACAAGTAAAGAACCGTAGAGACAGCTATTTAATTTAGAGTCGTTAGTTCACTGACAGTAATTGTTTGTAAATGTTTAAGTTACAAGCACAGAATGGCAAGTACATGTATAATGATATTTAATGCCCATTACACTCTCACTATGTCTGCTGAAGTATTCAATTAAACATGGTATATGAGAAGAGCTTTTTCCTGTAACTAGAATACTAGAGGCTTTATTACTGCTGTCAAATTCATAAATTGTTCTCATATTTAATTTCTAAAATTCACCTACATTGCTATGGAAACTGGGCAAGCCACAGCATCTGAATGCAAGCCATGACAGCTGGGGGTATTTTTCATGTTGCGAATCCTTTGGTTATTTCCCTATCCAATAAAATTATCACATTGCATCAATTCATTCCCGTTAGATTACTTAAATGGCAACTGTTGCTAAGAAGGGTCGAGGAGATTAATCAAAGTCCACACATGTGCTCATATATCATCCATGCAGGTTTCTTTTTTCAATTTACAAATATGATATAAATGTGGCTATTATAGTAAAACTTTCTTTTTGAAACAGAAATTACCCAGCATTGTGAAGTTTGTTTCCATGCTCTGCTGTTATTATCAGGGCACTCACATTTTGTGGATATCATTAATCTGTTATTACTTCTTAAATGGATCTGGATAACTGGACAAGATGTTTTTTACATATTTAATAGGATAATATTTGAATGAGAAGGTGTATGAATATGTATGAGGGAAGTCCATCCATCCAAATGGTAAGGTTGGGTTACAGAAGCTTATCTTGATGAATTTTCATTACACACACAAACAGGCTTATGTTCTCTCAAGCACATACATTTTGCAAAGAAATTTCATTTGAAATATTTTGTTCAGGACTGAAATATGAAATCTGTAGAACTGATGTAAGGGCATAGTTTCATTCGCCCTTCTCTCTCTTGTTCCCTCTTATTCCCTCCTTCTCCGCCTCCTCCTTTTATCTCTAGTTGGACTCCATGTACTGTTGGAGGCATGAGAACCAGCCCTCCTCTTCGTCTTCTCTCTCCAGTGGTTCGGTAGCTACATCTCCTGGCAAACTCACTCCCATATGGCCCCCTCAGAAGTCACCAGAAGATGATGACAATCTTGGTGGAAAATACACAGAAGCTGGTAAGTTGAAGACATTGATTCGGGACAAAAAATCAATAATAATAATAGCCTAATAGTCCACTCCAAATTCTATTAAACCGAAATGGAAATTCTTTTTGCCCAATTGATCGTGAGCCCGGCAGCCACTGAGCAGCGCCAGATCGTGAATGTACAATGTACGATTGTGTGAATGTACATGTATATGTGAAGCTCCTTGCCCTGACTTTATGTTTTCCCTTCCCCCCCCCCCCTTATTTTTACTAGCCAGAGAGAAAAGAAAACAAATAAGATTTTGTAGCATTCCCCCCCCCCCCCCACTCTCTTCCTACCTTTTATATTCCTTTTTCCCATCATATGAACATGCAGTCCAATTTTTTTTCCTCCTCTTCGTTTCTGTCTAACTCATTTTTTTGTTAACTTTGTATTGCCTGGGGAATAGTTACAGGGCTTTGTGGGAGTACATTGCAATGTTTGCAATAATTTGTCCCACGTTTGATGAATGTGCACATTTTTGTGAACAGCAATTAGGAAGCACCCATGCATTTATTTGTAGTATTGTATGAAATCAAGACATTCATCTACAATTATTTAATAGAATAAAGTTAAAGATAATACAAAGTATTGATCTAGGTCAAAGATTAGTGGAAATGTGATCTTCTTGATACAGGTTTATGTAAATGGTTTAGAAATATGATTGATTTATTTTACCAGGAAGCCTTGTGAGGCAGAAGCAGACATACAAAGTCTGGGCTATTTAATTGTCTGTCCTGTGGGAAAATTCAGTTTTTCCTCTTTTAATATTTTGTTATTTGTAGGGAATTCCCAGCTCTGTAAATATGGATAGTTCCTTGTGAATTGTCTGTTCTTTTACCTACTGTACATTCACCTCCATTTATTAGATAGTAATTATAAAGCTAACTGATACCAATGAAAGCTACATAAACAATACCCAGTTAATAACTACAAAAGAAAGAAACTTTTTACGTAATTTATTCACACAATGAAGTGTATGCAACCAAAGCAGAACATAATGGGGTCATATTTTATCTTCAGAGGTGTATACAAAAATGTAAGAAAATTATGGAAATCCAGAGTTTGTCCCTTTTGACTTTAACCAATGCTGTACATTTCCTTTAACTTCAAACATTTTGCATGTTTTATTGCAAGATTCAAGATGATAAATTTGTTTACTTGCACTGAACAAACTTTATCAGAGCACTGCATCTCTGCAAGATCATAATTTACCTGATTATCATGGATAATCAAGTTTGAAGCCTTTCATATAAAAAAAAACAGCTTGAATCAGTGTGTGATGTCAGTTGATGAAACCATAGATCTACAATGAAACCTTATAAATGTAGATGAAGCCACAAGCTAAATAGACTGAATGATTGGCTTTGTACTGAGCCATGAAGTTCATTTGGTTATTGGTTGTCTGTCAAGGCTTTGTGTTCACAACACAAGTGATCCTTCTCTCAGACAGATATTTTTTAAAGAATTTTCATGGGAATGCACTATTGCACTGCCAAATCAACCTACATTTTGTTGGTTGTAGCTGAGCATTCAAGCTTATTTGAAAGATTTGAATGAGAGGAAGTAATTGTGGCTGATGTAAATAATTATTTCTTTGTTAATTCAATCCAAAAGGAAGTCATTAGGGGTGATTTTAAACATGATGTTTGTGTATATATATATATATATATATATGAAAACAAACAGTGTGGAAGTAAGTTGATATAATGTCACTTCTGGAAGACTACCGGTACTGCTCTTTCTGTAATTTGTTCAATATTCATGTATTGTAGGATATTGGACTAGAATGAAAGCGTTGGGGGGGGGGGGTTCAGTAATGAAATATTCAAAAATTTTATTACAAACAGTTCCTTGTTTTCTTGTTATTTTAATCAGAAAAGATACACATCAAACATTTCATCTTGTAATTATGATGAAAATACAATTTGATGATTTTTCTAATGAGGATATGCTATATCAAGCATGTTAGTGGGCTTATTTTCAAGATGCCAATTAGATATTAAATTTGGACTATATTCAACCAGTCAGAAAATATGCCATTGTGATATACAATGCGTAGACAGCCACACCAGTAGACTGTATAGTATTTCTTTTTTTAGTGTTAAACAAATAGCAATTCATTTCTCAAATAATAGAGCTACGAGCATCCTTTAGCAATGTGGTCATGACTTGCATTGGTACAAGTAAAGGTGTCCTTAATGGTTTTCCAAGTGTAAAAAATAGAGAGACAATATTTAGTTCTTGTATACATGGCCTCTGGTTCATCCTTTGTCCCTCCCACTAGTCAAATTTCTGTTGATTATTCATCCGTTGTGTGTCTCTGGGAACACAAACCTCGCTTGAACCTCACAAATAATGGATATTTGTGGGTGAGTCATGCTCTATATTTCTTTCCTTTTCGTCTCATTTTGATATTATAAGCAGACCAATAAGTTGATGCATGAAAAATCATTATCCTAAGCTCTTGGTGCTATGATGCTTCGTGACTAAGAGAGAATAATATTTGAATGCTAGTAATAAAGATAAAAAATGACATCCCATGTACATTAAGTCAGCCAGTTATAACTGCAAAATTGAGGCACTATGTGTGATAACTCTCCCTCCCGCTTCTTTCTCTCTCTCTCTCTCTCACCCTTTCTCTATCTCTCCCATGTCTGTCTGTCTCTCTCTCCCTCTCCCTCTCTCTATCTCTCCCTTTCTCTATCTCTCCCTTTCTACGTGTTTCTCTCTCTCTCTCTCTCTCACTCTTCCCACCTCTCTCCTTCTTCCTCCCCCTCCCCCTTTCTCCCTACATGTTTGTCTCCCTCACTCCCTACCTCTTTCTTCCCCTTTCAATTTCTTTACATGCCTCCCATCATTATATCAACTCCAAATAATTGCATGTATTCAAATTACAATGTATTTCATGAACATGATGCAGACATATGTTTGTATGTCTACGCGAGGCTCTGCAAAGTGTAATTATCAGTTTTTTAATCCATTGACTATTTTAAGACGAGATCTTCATTAAATTGTGTTTGTCCAGGTCCTCTATAACATGTGCATTTTCCCTTGAATTCTGCTATTCTAGTTCTTGCTTTTGAAATACTTGGTCAGATTAGCAATTAAGTTTCATGGTTTTGTCACAAATTCACAGGTAGACTTTCAGAATCTACAATAAAACATAATCCTACGTTATTAGGCTATCCCTGTCCAAGCTAGCTGAACCAAGCGCATGCATAGATCTCTTCTTCTTTTTCTTTCTTCTCAGTAATAGCATAGCAAGATTTGCTAGTCATAATTTTCTTCAAGGCTCTTCACACCTCATAGAATAGTTACATGTAAATACACATGCACATGCCAATCAACATTTCACTTCTGTAACTGTAGGTGCCGCCCGTTTTTAAAATAAATTCAATATTTTAAAAGCAATGATGCTTTGCAATACCTGGACCAATGGTGATTGTAATTTGCATTCTCTTTATATGTGAATGGCATGGCTATATAGTTGTAAAAGGTGTACACTTCTTGTGTAATTGAAATTATGATTGACAAGGTTTTTATTCATTTAATTTTGTATTATTAGTTATTATTGAAAAGAAATTGTCTTGGATCGAGAGCTAAAATGGCAGTTACTCAGTGTTAAATGATGCGAGTTTACAGTCTACTGGCTCATTGCAAGTTAAATTTCTTTGATGTCTATACCATCTTCTTGGCTGTTCCTCAATTCTGAAGTCCCATGCATTGATGAAACCAGCCCACTAATTCACATCACTCTCCCCTGGGCCATGTGGGAGTTAGTATTGTCAGTTTCATGTCCCGTACATTCCAAGAGAACCTACAGACTGTAGAGCAACAATAAGATCTTAACTTAGAGCCAATGTGCAAATAGGAAAGGTAGAAGGTAACATCTCTACTCTAAAGATCTATGCTCTATGCCAGGTTAAAGTGCATGTAAATGTAGCTAATAGGGAATAATTGAGCACAAAGATTGAAGATTGATACTTGAGAGACCTGTCTTCCTGATATTTGACTAGGCCCACTTAAAGTCCCGGGGGTGTTTCACAAAGACTAAGATGGAACTTTAAGTTGGACTTATGGCAGGCCATTCATGCCACTGTTTGCTCTCACCATTTACTGGCATTGGTCTCTCAAGGGACGTAGAAATCATGGTCACAAATCTACAGAATTAACTTTTTGATAATTCATTATTGAAGGAAAAAATATGATCTAAACATCATGATGGTGAGAGCAAACAGTGGCCTACATAGCCTACCATAGTTCAGTCCAACTTAAAGTCGATCTTAGTCTTTGTGAAACACCCCCCTATTAGGGTAAATCTGTGTTTAGTGATGAAAGGTTTGCATTTGTGTCATAGATGATGGATTCATATTTGTAAGCTTATATTTCGGGTCACCTCATATTCAACCATTCACCCTTTTACTAATTTAATCATTAAATCATTTTGTATTGAAAGAAAGGTGTGTTCTCTAAGAAAAGTATACAGAAATTAATATTCAAGGCACACAAAACTTGCATAGAATTTTTTTTTTAATTGAATAGAATACGTTAATAAAATCTTTAAAGTAATGCTCATAAAATTGACTAATATCTTAAAAGTTTAGTTAAATGCTGATATGACATGGATTTCTACCTTATTTCATTGATTTAAAAACAAATTGAAATACCTACATACAGATTATAGAAATACAATCACCATGACATTGATGTATTTCAGCAACACTTGACGTATCCCAGATGTATGATTGATACATGTGTACAATGTAGGTAGTTGGCAAACAACAGACCCAACCTATTGTAGTGTACGTAGGATCAGTAATGATCACCTATACTCATCGCATAGCTTATTATATAAAGAAGCCTGAAGCAAACATTCCTACGCTCATCATAACCCGATCAAATTGACACAGCTACACCCCCAAACAAGCTGTAACCTTTACAGTTCTTATCCTACCAGGCATTCCAACATGGTTCTAGGCTAGGATTGC